GACAGACCCCTGGGGTAAGGTGTCCCTACCCATGGCAGGGGGGTTGGAACTAGATGGTCTTAAGGTCCTTTCCAACCCAAACTATTCTATGATTCTATGATTATGTCTCACTTGACTCACCAATATAATCCATATGCATAGCCTGCAATCTATATGCATATCCTTCACAGTGACTGATTCACCAGCTGTACTATCTGCATATATCACCAGCTTTTTCAAGACATTAACCCAGCCAAACCAGAGCAGCATTGAGGAAATTGTGTCCTAAACCTTCCCACAAGAAGAACCTTTCCAGAGAACCAAGGTCTTTTACAAGATAATTCAGCTTGGAAGGGACCTCAGGAGGTCTCTAGCCTGATCTCTTGCTCAAAGTAGAGTCAGCACTGAATTCAAACCAGGTTGCTCAAGAGCAGCGGTAGCATTTCCAGATAAAGCTAATCTTTAAATGAGGAACCAGTATTGTACCTCATGCCATGTCCAGCAATGCAAAATGGAGGGCTTCAGCAGGCTTTAAGTGCTTCCTTAGGTTCCATCAGTTGCAGCTCAGGAGCCTTCTGAATGAGATGTGATTTCTATAAATTTACTGATTTTCACAGATATTTCTCCCACAAACTTGTTCAGATTCACAGTGAACTCATGAGAAAATATTGATGGTGGAATTCAGCTTACAGAAGGTTACATCTCCCTCGGGGTGTCTACCTATAGGCTTCTGCTTGTTGTCTGGGTGCTATTTCAGTCAAAGGACAATTACTCAGTGCAAGCTTATGCAGTCAGGATTAATTCAGCTGATCAGATATATATGTGTACAAACAATGCTCTGATGTTGGCAATTATGTAACCCATTTCTTGGGTGTGTTTCTGCCTCTTCTCCTGTCAAAACAGTGAACTGGAAATTAAGCTTAATGGAACAATTCATGTGAACAAAAAAGAAGTCTGGGTTGACTCCTATAGTGTAGGAAACTGTGTTGGAGTGTGGGCTTGTGTGTTTCATATTAATTCTTTAGAGCATATTTGGTTCCTTAATGCACTGAATCCCCTCTTCAAGCCTCACAAGTCTGAAGCATGAAAAGCTGAGATAGTTATTGTGATGTTTCCTGCCTTCTGCCATTTTTTTCTATTTCCTTAATGAGCATCACCTAAAATGCAGAGCATCTAAGAGTTATTGTACTGATATGAGAAGAGGTCAGAGATTTCCTGACAGACACATCAATGGCAAAGGCAGCATCAGCCCGGACATGCTGCCCACATAAGTTTGTTGTGACTGCTGGTAAGCAGCCTACCAACACAGGGAAGAAAGTCACTGCGGTGTGGGTACAGGTCATTGGAAAGTGGTCCCTTCACCCTGACACTACAGTAGAAGTGACTGTCTTATGTTTCAAGGCATTATTTTGTCTATTTAAGAGCTAGATATACTGTCACCTTATATTCTGGATAGTCTCAGTTGCAGAATGCTAGATTTTAAGACCGGCAGTGGTTTTTTGCCTTTGTTTCATTGACAACCATAGGTAGTCCTCCCCTGTAATGTTCAGTACTACTTCCTACTAGATTCAGATTAAGCTATAGACAGCCCTGAGACTTCTGGAGTCAGGTATTCTACTAAAATTCAAGCCTTCCTTAAAAAAACCTGAACAACATATGGAAAATACAATGAAAGAGTAACTAACTCATGTTGGTTATGCCTAACTAGTTCTATCAAGAGCTTAAACCAGCAGATTCAAAAGGTGCAAAATGTTTTGTATTGCATTGTTAGATGGGTAACACTTACAAATCCACTGTGACCAAGGATCATAAATCTGAATATAAACACACATACACATGTACATTTTAACTTGATATTAAGAAATGCACCTTTCTACTACCCATCTTATGCTTTGTCTGGGATGTGGTTAGGGTGGTGGAAACTCATGCTGTTCCATGTGTTGCTGTCCCAGCTATTGCTGCATGATACTGTATCTCTGACAAGTATGCAAATAATGAATGTCACTGATGCTACACTTATATACTGGAGACCCACAGACCACAACAAAGCAGAACATTTAAGGTTTGTCTCATTTTCCCTCATTTTGGAAAATGGCCCAGAGTCCTTTCTCTCACAGTGGAATCTTAGGTCCCTGGCAGGCTGTGTAAAATTACATGCTAGAGGAAAACAAGAGATTTCCTATGACATTTCCAGGTTTTCTTTGACTCCACACGCACCATCAATAAGTGTTGATTAGCAGGGAGAATGACCTCAAGTCACATCAGCTGTAGGATGTGTTTTCCTGGAGGGAAAGGAAGAATATAATTTCCGCCTCTCAAAGATAAGAATTATCACAGGTTTTAAAAGCATAATTTTGCTCTTATTGTCTTTTTTTTTTTTTATAGAAGCCCTTCAAATGAAGGGTAAAACTTCGTAGGTCAGTGTTTAGTCGTTTGTAATGCCAAGGCTTTGTCAAATACTAACATCAGTGTGTCAGACATCAGATGCAGATTCTCTCATGTTTAACAGTTGCATTACAGTAGAAGAAAATTTAGTTTCTCATCCACTTATCCATTTATCTGGATATCACTCACTTATTTGATAATATATCTGCTTTTTGACCATTTGGCCTTCCAAATGCGAGATAGGATTTTGCAGATAGGGATGACTAAAAGAGTATAATTTAGCGATATATCAATCATATAGCATGAATTTCTGGATCATGTAATTTTTACTGCTGCCTGATATATATATATTTGCATTAGCTTCGCATTTCTCACATGTAAGTGCTATTAAAGCTGAAAAGTTCATTGACTGATTTCAGTTTTTACTGTATGCATGCTGAAGGAACAAAAATGCCCACCATTTCAACCAGAATTTCTTTCTACCTCTGGATGAACTGCTTCTAACTCAAAGGATATCAGTCCTGTGTATTGAAGATCAAGATATAAAAACATGTTAATAATGCTTCAAATTGGCAGGTCTTACAGATCAATGTGTTTTCACTGGTTTTAATGTAGCTAATCAGATTTATGCTGGCCAAAAACTCAGATGATTTCTTTCCAGTGCTTAGGAATTTGATATTATGCTGCTTTGTTGCAGAGAAGAAAGAAAGTGAATAGCAAAGGTAGAAAGTGAAAGAGTTCAGCTAAATATCTTTAAGGTTATTTAATTATTGGGTTTGGGGAAATTGGAGGTAAAATCACAAAAACAGATTTAAAACATGATTTCCCATAGTTCATTGTTCTGTATGGGTCACAGTAGCATGTTGTGTTTTTTGCCATCTATGACCTAGTAATTTTTAGTGGAAAGACTATGACAGATTGGATAACCTACTGTTAGCATTATTATTGAAAATAAGTTTTGCAGACCCTGCTTCCTACTCTTGAGTCACTCACATTCTCAGATTCTCTGTCCTCTATCCAAGCTCATGTTTCATACTATCCATACAATGTAGTTATTTCTGCTTAGCACAAAGTTATTCAGCTAAGATACAGGCTTCTCTTAACTAAGGAACTACTGAATGTACTAATTAGAAGAAGAATTAAAACCTTGTTGTAACATTGAATGGTTTAAGTCCATGCTTTCTTGTCAAGCACAAGTTTCTACAGCTAATCCTGTAACATGACAGTATTTCTACTGTATAATGTTTATTTATGTGAATTACCATGTTTTCAATATGTTCTACAGCATTTACCTTCCTGGTGTAGTGGAAGGTGTCCCTGTCCATGACAGAGGGGTTGAAACTAGATGATCTTTAAGGTCCCTTGCAACCCTAACTATTTTATGATTCTATGATTCTACATTAATAAGAAACTTTACTGACTTCATGATTAGTAATGCAGTTGGATTACCTACATCTGCCAGTGTGTGTTTTTCTAGAGTATGTTTTACTTCAGTAGGAAATTTAAATGCTTCCCCCATTAGCCCCTTAGGATGCTTGAATTGTGGATGTTTTTTTATGGCTCCCAAAGAAGTTGAGCAAGATTCAGTTTGACTCTGACAAAAAAAAAATAAAAATAAAAATTAGCCTACATGTGAGTTAAGCATCTAAGCTCTTGTCATCACATGAGATCTAGTTAATACAAAATGGAAGACTGCTCTATTCAGCTGATTCTCAAATGATCACCTACATTTCATCAGCTCACTGGATCTGATCTCCATTGACTAAGTTCATTACCTACCCAAGTCAGAGAAACATTGCCTAAGAATTGACATCTGGAGACATTTTAGATGCCTTTGGCCTTCAGTAGGACTTGTGTCACATCTACCAGTTCCACATGAACACTATGGATATCTCAGGGTATTTCAAGTGACATTAAAGTAGCATATTTTCAGGCAATTGCATCACAGTATAAGTGTCAATATTAATGTGGAAATCTGACCATACGACCAGCATTTTGCAAGAAATTGCCCTTGTTTTGAAGGGTTCATATTGAATTACAGGAAATAAGTAGCGATGTGAGGAGATTAATGTGACTTGTCAATAGCAGGGATAAGTACTTTCAAGCTACACAGAGCTATGCATCTTTCTTACTATTTGTCCCTTTCTTTGCCTGCCCCTATTTGCTTAGCAATTGTTGCTGAATGCAAGCTGAGCAATGTTTAACATGACCACAGGATCCTCTTTCTCAGAAACAATGAATAGGGCATCACAGTTCACTTCTACAGATCAGCTCTGCTGAAGCTGGATCTCTGGCTCATTTGTTTCTCACACATAGATCAGTTATGTTATCATTGTTTCAAATGGTTGAGCATCCATTTTTGACTGGATGCAGCAACCACGCAACCATGCTGAGTCACCAACAGAAGCTGGTTATGCCTAGCCTTTAGTACAGCAGTGAGTGTTTCAAAAGGAATTTCTTTCCAATTTTTCTTCTTTTATTTTACCCTCCATGTTAAGCAAAAACAACCTAAGGAGAGAAATAGCTGTGCAGGTCTGTGTTTTCCCATTGAGAAAGCAGATCCTGCAAAACTTTGTTGTACTAGTTGAAGTCAGGTAGGAATATCGAGTGACATTTTCTTTCTTGTGTCCTTGCAGCTTTCAGAGGGAATCAATGCAGGTCAAGGACTAGGTATCGAAATCATTGCTACCTTCCAATTGGTGTTGTGTGTCCTTGCCACCACAGACAGGAGGAGGAATGATGTCTCGGGATCAGCGCCTTTGGCCATTGGTCTCTCTGTTGCCTTAGGACATCTTCTTGCTGTAAGTTTTAACACTAACAGTTGAAATCTGCAATGTCCCACCTCAGGATGCACCAGTGAGGGCAGCAACATGACTGGCAGATGATAATTTGTCCCTTCTTCCACTTCAGAGACTAACTTTGCTTCTGCAACATTCTTCTTTGGGCCATGTGACTATGCCAATAGGTGATGATGTTGCACACCTGGGAGGAATCACTGCAGTGGGACTTGTTTCCTTGGTGGGACAGGACAGATGCATGGAAAACAGTCTTTCCCCCTTTTTCTGAGGGAGAGTGGGTGGGATGAATAAAACTGTTGTGAACATCTGAACCATGCTGTAGGCAGCTGCTTGCTCTCCTGTGCAATGAAGGTGCCACATGTGCATCAGTGCTTCACCACTGTCTCTCTTTCCACCTCCTAGATTGATTACACTGGTTGTGGAATTAACCCAGCCAGATCTTTTGGCTCAGCACTGATTGCCAACAACTTTGAAAATCACTGGGTAAGTTGAATAACTTTGTTTAGCTTACATTATTCTGCATATGCATAGTCTACAAGATCAAAAAACATTTGAAACACATACCATCAGCACCAAGTCAGTGAATTGTCATTTCAGTCTCATTTAACAGTCATCCCTTTTTGCTCCTGAACAGCCTCAGGAGATCACAATATCCTCAAGCTGAGTATGTATGTTCAAAGTATTACAGCAGATTTTCTGTGGTTATTTCCTTTTATGTTTATTTATTCCAAATATTTTAAATGTTAAAGCCTCATTACACAGAATCCTGTATTGAGTATTTATTGTTTAAAATGAATTTGTAAAGTGCTGCTGCTTAATCTGGGAAGACCTAATTTAGGAAGATTCTTAAGCAGGTTTCTAAACTGAAATGGAAGATCCAACATTTGGAAGCTAATAAAATGTCCATCTAAAAGTTCCGTGTCTGCTTATGTGCTTTCATGGATAAGTGTTCTGGAAACACTATAAATTTTAGACTATTCTCTGTGCTTAAATGTGGTTAAAATGAGAAACTTCATGAAAGTGTACTTATTTCACAAAAGCTCAATAAAAAAGGCTGCTATAAAAGCCCTAAATGAGTATGTGTCCTTAAATACTTAAAGTGTAGCTTGTTCTGACTTTTCTGCTTAACAATTTTGGCAGCCAGTTGTGGAGGCATTCATCAAAATTTGATGGTAGTACAATAGGTTGTGAAAATGTTGAATATGGGTGCAGTTTTACTCTAAAAGCCTAAAAGAAGGACACTGGCAAAATTTTGCCATTATCTCCTACTTAAATATTTCATAGGCTACTAAGGTAATGTAACTAAGCTAGTAGCTAGCATTTTCAGAATTTAACACAAAATTATTTTTCTTTGTACAGAGAAGAGATAAAGGTAATAATTCATATTCAACCACTGATACTGATGAATAAAAGAAAATGTATTTTCAGACTCAGGAAATTTTTGGCCATCCCAATCCCTCAGCGTCATCTACTATTTCTAATAAAATCAGCCTGACTTCTATGACACTTTTGTTACTTCTGTTTCCAAACTTTACTTGCCTTAAGCAATTAGTCCAGTACAATTACAACAATATCACTAGCTAAATAGCAGCCAGCAGCAAATTAAGCCCCTAATTAGGTTCTTACTAAGTATTACTTTCTAATTCACCTGTCACTGAAAGTAAGTGGGAAAATGGAATTTAACACCCTTGTTGCTTTTAGAAATAATCTTCCCCTGCTAAAGCTATCTGGAGAAACAGTGATGTTTTACCAGTAGATTCTTAATTTTAAATATCAGAACTTGACAACATACTCACAGTTATTAATCTCTGGGGCTATTGCCAATTCATGGTGAGAAATTCTTGGTTTATTGTACTGTGGTTAAGTAAATAATCAGGTGATAGACTGTAATTTTAGTGTTTTCACTGTAAATTTCATGGTGGAATAATACCTGATGTATTAACTGGGTTGGGAACTGTGTTTCAGATCTTCTGGGTTGGCCCAATCATTGGAGGAGCAAGTGCTGCCCTGATTTATGACTTCATCCTGGCTCCCAGAAGCAGCGACCTGACTGACCGCATGAAGGTGTGGACCAGCGGTCAAGTAGAAGAGTATGATCTGGAAGGAGATGATATGAACTCCAGGGTTGAAATGAAGCCAAAATAAAGAAACACAAGGAAAAAAAAGGAAAAAAAAAAAAAAAAAGGCACATTGGTTTCAGAAGATTTTATCAGTGTTATAGACTCTTTGTAAACCTGCAAGCAGAACTTTGTTTTTTAATTCAATATGGTTTTTCATTTTTTGCCCCAATCTTTATAGCATTTTTTTATAGCATTTTTATATCTGGGGTTTTTCAATTACAAAATCTTCAGGCCGAGAAGTCATTAGACACTTTTTCATAGGCTAAATAAATTGGGCTGAAATTTAACCTCTTCCTCACCACCACAAAAATTTCTGGTGCATTAAGCATATGGGGTTCTACCAGCACCTCACTCAGTAATGAGAAGTAATTCAAGTGACTGGTCTGTTTGCTGAAAGAATAGACTCCAAGGGCAGAGAACCATCTGCACCAGTAATATAGGCCTTATGCCAGAAAATTTATTTATACAAATATGCAAGGCTGGTATCTAATGCCAGCAGTGCATGTGAAAAACTATCTCAAATCATTGCCCAGAAGCACCTTTTGGAAGAAAAGGCCACTAAAAATTACTTGTTATGTAGAATTAACCATTTTTTTTTAATGATTGATAATCTCTGAGGAAGAGAGTCAGAAAAGTTAAACTGGACTAGAATCTCTAGAGTCCCAGGATTCATTTAGGTTTTCTAGTGTTTCATTCTCCCTGAACCTGCATCCAGCTTATTGTGAGAATATATGACAAAAAAAGTGTAGCTATATTAATTCCTGGGAAGTAATAACTAGAAGTCAAGTTGGGGAGTAGTAATAACAATGGCAACAAGAACAACATGGTGCCAATATATAAACAGGATCTGATTGTTCCTGTGACTACTCTGCTTTTGTTAATCTTATGTAATTTAAGTGTATATTTTAAAGCAAAGCAGGAAAAAAAAAAGAAAAGCCCTTTCTTCCTGAACCCCATTCTAATTGACACTGCTGTGACATTCAGGGACAATGAATAAATATACACACAGTATATTTTTTAATGAGGGACAAATATGTACTTGTGTGTAAGTCCATTCTGGGGGTTGTTGCTTTTTTTTTTTTATATATATATATATATAAATGTTTATATATATGTTTTATACAGAAAGCCTAGTATACTGTTTTGTAAGAAAATAAGAGCATAAGACAAGTGTAAAGACTTGCAGCAGTGCTTAGCAAAATTAATGACACTGGAAATGTAAAGAAAATTAACACTCTCAACAATATGGAAAACTATTTTCTGTTTTCATTTCTGTGTGTGTGCTACTTATGATTTCCCGAGTAACCCAAAGCATTAGCTGGTCATACCTACTAACTATAGAGTATAGTTAAACCAGATACTTGCTGTTATACTTGTTCTGCACTAAACAGTTTTACATAAGAAATGAGGCCCAGAGGAACCTACATAAAAAGCTGCGCACTTTATCATTCAGACAATCACCCCAGAGGTAATAGGATGTCTCCTCTTAGAGAGACAGTGTGGAGTTGGGAGAGGGTCAACATGGGAATCCATGTAGGTTGGATCATTTCATGAAGTTGAGCAGATGTACAGTGGAAAAGATATAAAAAGGAAAATCACCAGCAAAATAAAGCAATGCATATCTTTCTTGTCTACATTTGGTGTGCTATCCCATGTATTGTCTATGTACATACAGCATGAATTTTGGGGTGGTATAAAAATAAACAAAATCAGTTGTGCTAATACATGGAATGTTCATGATTGATTCTTGATTTTTAGTTTGCCTTGTAACACAATGCAATTTCATTTTCTACACCGTTTTTCAGGTGCTCACCTGTAAGACTGAGAGAATTTCCATGTTTCTAGTTCTGGCTGCTCCTTTGATTTGATGAGAGCACTGGGTAAAGGAAGCTTCTTTCTTTGTATGGCAGGCAAAGCAGGCCCTCACCTAGAAGCAAGCTGTATCTAGACTACACTTAGAAATGAAGCAGGATATCACAAACTTGTTCTTACTTTCCAGAATCTTTTTTTTTTTTATTTGCTGGTACTCCAATGCATCCATTGACCCAATATTAACCCTTTTTTGCCTTACAAAATCAATGAGCCAGAATAGTTGCAAGTCACCCAGAGTTTGTTTTGACAAGCCTGGCAAGCTAAAGTTACCTCAAGCTGATATCTCTATAGTGATAGAGAGAATGTGAGATTCACAATTTGTTCCTTAGTCTACACCCTCCAAAGAGCACTATGTTGCTCTATTTTCTATGCTTCTACTTTGAAGAAAGCAATACAGCCTTTCCTTTTAGTGTGGAAGAGGACTACATCATGTTAGCTGCTCTAGCTGCTGCTTACATTTACCACAATAATAAATAAAATAGATGAAAGGTGTACAAAAACTGTTTGTTAGTAAGAAGCAAAGAACAGGTAAAAGTAAATGATACATAATTTGTTGGTGTATTTACTCATGGTGAAAATGTTTAAACAATTTACAGCAAAGTAAGTGAAAATGTATTTCAACAGAATTTCAGGCATAACTACCTCACTTCTTAAAGAAGGAAAACCTTAATAGTATATTTAAGGTGTTTTTGTAGTACTTAGATCCTGAGCTCAGAACAGCAGGTTCTAAGCAAAAGCCAGAGCTGCTGGTGGTCTCCTCACTCCTGGCACAAATGGTTTCGCTTTGTGCTCGAGAAGCACACTTAAAAGTTATCATCATCTCATTAGAATATTTGGAAGATACCCAGAAAAGGAATTAAAGCACGAGAGAGCAACTACTGAAACCCACTAGCAAATGTCAAGTGGGAAAATGTATTTACTTGCATGTGATTACCCAGAAACTCAACAAAATCTCCCAAACATCAAGAGGAAGCCTAGAACACAATTGTTTAAAACAGCTCCCATGATGTATGTACTAGTAGATCCCAACCTATGGACAAATAGATCATGTCTGTGCTCTGGTGATTCCCAGGGACAAGCCTCTACATTTATCACACGTTCTAACAGGAAAATATGATAAGGGGTAGATGCTTTCATAGGTTAGCTAGGGACCACCTAACATGGTCTCTGTAGCCACCTTGTTGGGTAGCTCACATCTTATCAAAACCCCACAGAAAATGGCTATACACTAGTAAATGTAAAAGCACAGGGGAATATTCCCAAGTTCAGCAATGCAAAGTTGTCAGTGTCTGTATGGCCCATCCCAACTAAAGTACTCCCAAATTTTTGTGAGTAAAACCGAGCAATGCAAAGATGAACCACTTTGTTTTGTCTGGGGGCCAGCTGTCATCCTATGGAAAGACACCAGCAGCGCAGATGGACTCACTCTGTGGTTTAGACAGCTGACAAAGCGCTACCTCATTTTTGCATGCACCGGCACAAGACAACTTAGCAGAAGCCTGAGGAAGGTACTTTGAATTCTTTCCTGGAGAAACCCCTGCCTCTGCATTGATTCTATGGTCAATCTAAGGAGATACGGGTCCTAACTTAAGACATCTATCTTTAGAAATAAATACATGTTCTGCTTCCCCATTGTAATTCTGGCAATTTAATTTTAGATTTCATGCTGCTAGACTCTACATAGTCTTCTAACATGTGCAAGGAAAGAAAGGCGATTGAAACACAACATAATGACAGCCAATAAGCCAGGAAGCTTCCATTGTCTTTCCACATCCACCACCTGCTCCAGTCACAATTCACAGCTTAATGTTTATAAAAAATTAAAATAACACAATGTTGTTAATAAAGAGTTTCTCATAGTACTTCAATGTTTTGCCTCCTTTTACGCAGCTGAAGTTTGGAAGTGACAGTCTCACAATAAAGTTGTATTAAGAATATGGCTGTTATGATTCAGCTGAAGCCTTAGCTCTAACAAACATCTGTGTCAAGAATGGTTTTGGGTTTCATTTTACTCAAGCCTGATGTGCTTAAAAGGACCATATTTTTTGTATAGAAATTGTCTGATATTACAGAAATTTCTTAGAGCAGAATTCCTTCTGGGAATAAATCCATTACCTTATAGACTTTCCAAAGCTAAATAATGAAATCAAACCTCTGTTTAAAGAGGTTCATTGATAATTAGAAATAAGCCATCTATGAGATCACACTGATTTAGGATCTTGAAATCATATGCCACATAGGGATCCGAATAATATTCTTGAGAATACACAATTCCCGTGGACTTCAAGATTCCCTTGTGCTGTTGTGAAAATCTAATGCATTCAGATTTACAAAGGGAGTTACACTAAATTCTGATATGGCATAGGATGTCTGCCCACTGCTATTCCTTTTCTTCTACACCATGTCTAGTCCTGCAGGGAGAAATAGGTAATAGCTATTATTAGAACCGGTTACCTACCTCAGCTGTAATGGTGTTTAGATGTGGACATCAGCCCTGTTGCCTGTAATACTGTGATAAATTGTTGTATTCTTCAGAATTTGGTAAAGAGACTGACAACTAAATAAACACAGGAATGAAGAATGGATGGAGGGAAATGACCCACCACCTAAAAGGCAACTGATTTGTGGATTTTATTAGTATTCAAAAGGATTCATTCTCCTTTCATGCTGTAGGGAACTGTACACCCTACTGCCCTTGAGACATGCCTGTTTGAGCAAAAGGTCTTTGACTTTTTCAGTCATTGTGTTATGAGATTTATAGATTTTTATAAAAAAGAACCCAGAAACTCAATCCACTCCCTTTTTCATGATCTCCTGAACTTCCTGACCTGCCATGCTCTAATATTTGCCATGAATTGCCCTCATTGTGCCATTTCCTCTTTTTTGTTTCTATTCTTGTCTTAGAGCAGGAATTAAGAAGCTGGTGGAAAATTATCAACATAGTGATGCTATTTGCCTATTTTGGTATCATTTCTAGTAATTTCTTTCCTTTTCTTCCCCTTTACACTTAATTTTCAAGGTCATGAGAAGGAGTTCTAACAGTTAAAGGTGATCCCTCCATTTAATCTCTTCTCCCTTTAGTTTGTGGCTAGTTCCTTTTTCTAAGGGATTTATACTTACTCCTAGTCAAAAACCTGGAGGGACCGTTTATGATTTTTATTTTTATTTTTTTTCTCATTGAAAACAAGCAAAACAATGTTTCCTGGAAGCATGGGAGCCAAACAGAAGCTCTTTGCCAAAGAGTGGCTGTTAAGTGCAATTGCTGGAAACAGTCAGAAACAGTCATGCTTTTTTTGTTTTTCTTTTTTTTTTTTCCTGAAAAGTAAATGGAACACTTGCAGGTAGAAATCTATCCAGAAGTCAGATGTGACTATGAAAACTACAAGATACAGCACACACTTGGTTTCCCTTAGGGGTCTCCAACTTTTTCGTCTTATGCAATTTCACATAATCCAGAAGAACCTGGCATGAATTAAAGGGAAGAGGGGAAAGTGATGGGCCTGCCTGATTTTATATCCTACCAGTGCTGCGTGGGAAGAGAGGTCACTTGTACTGTGACTGTATTTTCTGTCTTGGAGCCAGATCTGATTTACTCAGAAAGGTTTTAGCATTGTTCAAGGAGTGAAAGAAGAGCCAAATCATATTCCTATCTGGCTTCACAGTGTTTTGTGTTGTCATGGTAGTGTAAAATGTTGTGATACTAGGGAGTGGACACTAGGACTTTCATGTCTGCTATAAGAGATTTGATATCGGCTCTGTCTGACCATTAGCCAGGCATGGGAGTGAATCTCAAACACTTATTTCAATATGTAATAGCTAGAAAGGTCTATGAGGTGCTAATTTGACACCCTGCCTTTGTGTCCCAGCAGCACTAACCCATCTGCTGCTGGTGGGGAACCCTAGAAAGTCCTGACGGCTGCGTGCATTACACAGTAAGACTCTGATTTCTGTATGTCTTACTCCTTGCTAATCCATGTTAGTCCTTTTCTGTCAGTCTTCAAAGTGCACTTCAATAAGCCTTTCTTTGTATAGGTTATTGGTGAAAGAGACATGATCTGACAGAATGAGATTTATATGTCTAGGTTGTTCCAAACATGTGGTTTGGACAAAGCCATCTTAAAGTGGGAAAAGCAGACTTGTATTGTGACAAATCATATCATACTACTTGCTTTTAGGTCTAGCAGACAGTCACTGGATAATTTTATTTACTAATACAAACATCCTGAAATAACTAAGTATGCCTTGGTGACATTTTTAGGATGGAAGTACTTGCTCTCAGTTTTCACCTATTTCTGTCCAGTGAATGCACAGAAATGAACTTTTAGAAAACTGAAAGCAAACGAGGTGATGGACACCTTTGGTTAAGACTCATGTCCTCTTGATCTGGATCAAGTGCAATGTAGAAATGACTGTTTTCAGACAACTTGGAGAAACTGCTGATTTCTGACTGCTGGCAGGGGTAAAACTGTGGAACTGTTCAGAACTTGAACTTTGGTCTTTGAGGGACTTTAAAGAAAACTTAGGTTCTGTGTAGACACCTAAGTGATTTAGGGACTTAAGTTTTACGTGTTCGAATTCTGTTCAAGTTCTCTGTCAAGTACTCTGACTTGTCACATGAGGACTTCTCACGTGATTTTTCAAGCACTTTGTGCTTCTATTGAATCTGACCTTTCGTCAAAACTTTACGAGTGGTTAATTATTATGCTAGGGTTTCCACTGTATGAACAATAACCTCTTTCTTTCCTTAAGGGATTGTTTGTCCAATTATTCAGTTTTGCCCAATATTGTTAAGAAGCCTTGACTTTGGCTTCTTGAAAAATAATAGCTGTTTCCTGAGCCCATTCAAACACTGAA